CAGATTTGGACTCAAAGTGCTAAAATCAAGGAGGACCTTCTTCCTTTTGTTGGAAAGGTCAGCCCTTTTACTTCTTTGTTGGCTTTGTGTAATTTTTTTTTTTTTTTTACATTTTGTTTTGATGGGTGAGGGTAGGACAGAGGGAAGTGCTTTGTTGCTGTAGACCAGTGGTCAATAAACTTCTGTGATGGGACTCAATAATAAATACTTTGCAGTCTGCCTTTTAAAAAGCAAAACAAAACCCCCACCATGCTTGATAAATGTAAAAAGCATTCATAGATATACAAGACAGGAGTGTGCGCCAGATTTGTTCAGCAGGCTACATTTGTTGTTCTACAATAAATGCTGTAGAACATTTGTTGCTCCGGCTTCATGTAAAACCATAAACCAGATTTCTATAAAATTTTCCGGTAATTTAACTAAGATATTTCATTGTCAAGATATATTGAAACTCTGTTTCTGCAATGCATCCAAAAGGCTTTGTTATGCTCGGAGGAATGAATTCACACTAACCATCCTCACAAAACAATCATTAGACCAGAGCATTGATTTGCTCATTTAAACAGTAAAATGTTATGGAGACATTTACTAGTGATATTAGACTCTAAAGTCTAAAGTATGAAATTGAGATGAGAGGATTCCTTGGTAAAGACAGAATTCGGTTTCAAGACTAATTCAAGATTTAAATCCATAGGACTGTGTGCCAAGTGAACCTGAGTATTGCAACCGCTCACCTTCCCCAAGACACTGCAGGAGATCATCAGTGTCCCCACCTCACCCTCAAAGGGTTGTGACTATTCTCAGTGGGATAAAGACCCCGGAACCCTACCAACACAGCTACCATCCTGGTGAACCTCCTGGCCTTTCATCACTTTTTTCTTCCCCAAACTCTACGAGAAAGTTTATTTAGAAAGTCACAGAGGCAGGAACGTGGAAGAAGCTGGGTGTGGACTCAGGAAACAAGTCACTGAGGCGAAAAAAGGGCCCTTGGAGCTTAGGCGAAAGAGAGAGGCAAAGAAAACACACCCAAGGAAAGGGGTGGGGGAAGCGTGGGCATGCTCCATAGAGAGTCGCCCTCTCATCACTCTTTACACACATTTAAAAAAAGTGTTTAGCCTGCGGTGTGGCTCAGTGGTTGAGCGTCAACCTATGAACCAGGAGGTCAGTGTTTGATTCCTGGTCAGGGCACATGCCTGGTTGTGGGCTTGGTCCCCTGTGTGGGGCATGTAGGAGGCAGCTGATTGATGATCCTCTCTCATCATTGATGTTTCTATCTTTTCCTCTCCCTTCCTCTCTGAAATCAATATATGTATATTGATTTTTATTAAGTCACTCATGAATTGGGCAACATACCTTCTAGAAATTTATACCAGTGTTAACAAAAATTCCAAAGGAAATTAAAAGGGAGATATATTCATATGTGATTTGTAAATCAGGGACAAAGCCCTCTTTATGAACTGAAAACATGTTCCAAATGAAAGGATAGAGCAGGGTTTATTTATTTTTTTAAATATATTTTTATCAATTTTAGGGAGGAAGGGAGAGGGAGAGAGAGGTAGAAACATCAATGATGAGAGAGAATCATTGACCAACTGCCTCCTGCACAACCCACACCAGGGATTGAGTCCACAACCTGGGCATGTGCCCTGACTGGGAATCGAAACGTGACCTCCTAATTCATAGGTCAATGCTCAACCACTGCGCCTTGTGGCCAGGAGAGCAGGGTTTATTAAGGCAATGTAGCAAGGAGATCATAATAAGAGATGGGTTGCTAAGATAAACATGACCATAAACTTACATCATTCATTTCTGATTGGTGGGGGTAACTGGACTTTCAAGGGTTGGCTGACACAGTGATAAGACAATGAGGCTGTGCGATGAGAACAATGGGTTATATGTGATTAAGCATTCATCAAGTCCTGGTTTCAACCTCTGCCTGTGGAACAAAAAGGCTGCCTTTGATCACACCATTATAGTGCAGGGAGTATTATTAAAAAACAATGCAAGAAGTACAATTTATCAGGTAGTACAATCAGCACGGGGGAAGGGGGGTGGCTACTCCAGCTGCAGGCAGTTTTGAAGACCAAAGGGCAAGTTAAGCTCTATAAGCAGCTTCAGAATTCAAGCTGAAAAAATCCAAACAATGGGCCACAAGTTATGATATTAAAGTTGTTATAAGTCCTCTCCAGTTACATCTCTTTACAATTAATGAAACCGGACAGCAAATTCAAATGATGCCATTAATCTATTGCTTATGAAACTGCCACTTAAACCAGACGGTAGAAAACTTAGGTTGTAATTCTGTATGTCCTATGAACTCCTCAGAGTGTTTCTAGATTGCTTAAGGTTTGAAAGCAACAAAACTTCCCAAGAGACAAACGGATAAAAACGGGAAGACTTGCTCTGACGTTCAGAGTTGGAGATGGTGACAGCATTGTGAGTCTCATCGGAAACTTCCATGCTCTTCCTGCTATGTGATCTCTTTATGGAAGAATTTAACGACAACACAACCGGTGTTAGAAAGGCAGTGTTTTTGAGTGCCCTTCTTATGCGAGGGGAGCCAAAAGAGAAAAAAAATAGAGATGGCACTGAGGAGATACTCTTTAAGAAAAGAAGAAGAAGAAATATTTTTATTGATTTCAGAGAGGAAGGGAGAGGGAGTGAGAGACAGAAACATCAATGGTGAGAGAATCGTTGATTGGCTGCCCCACACTGGGCATCAAGCCCACAACCAGGGCACTGGGAATCAAACCTGGTTCATAGGTTGATGCTCAACAACTGAGCCACATCAGCCAAGTTGATGTTACTGTTCTCAGCTCTTACTTTGATCTTGGTGTTCATGAGTTATACCTGTCCAGAACACCCATTTTTAATAGATATTGAAACTGTATTGGTTTGCACAGTTGAATAAGGGATTATACTTTGAAAAGTATAGCATTTACTATTTCTGTTGCCACTCAAAGTCTTGGTCATTTTTGTTTTGATATGTCAACCTGTGATACTGGGAAAGAGAGCTGTATAAACTTCTACCCACTTTATAAAATATATAAAATTATAAACAGGCATTAGAGTTCAAGAACCTTACTAGCCTTTATTTAAACCAGGGGTGGGGAATGTCCGGCCCTTGGGCCACACAAGGCCCATGAATTCATTTAGTCTGGCCCTGCCAAGGCATTAAGGGCGAGTTGATCAATATACCATGCTAATTTTTAAACTGATAAATTTGTATGGCCTGAGAAGCTATATATATAAAAAGCTAAGCGACTGAACGACCAAACAACCGAATGACCAGTCGACTGGTCATTATGATGTGCACTGACCACCAGGGGGCAGACGCTCAATGCAGGAGCTGCCCCTTGGTGGTCAGTGCGCTCCCACAGCAAAAGCACCACTCAGCTGACCGACAGGCGCCAGACACAGGGCTCATGGCTGGTGAGGCCACTGAAGTGGCTCGAGCTTCTCCCAATCAGGACTGACTAGGCATGAGCCCTCGGCAGGCACAGCAGGGCTGGGATGAGGGGGGGAGGCAGGCAAGGTCAGCAGGGCGGTGTTGGACTGCCAGGTTTGGCCCAATCCTCGCAGGCCAGGGTGAGGGACCCCACAAATCTGTGCACCGGGCCTCTAATGATGTTATAAATATCCAAATGGCGCTTGGCAGAATAAAGGTTCCCCACTTCTGATTTAAACAATTAATCATTCCACTAAAAAAAAATGGCTTTTAGCCCTAACCAGGTAGCTCAGTTGGTTAGAGCATCATCTCAATAGGCTAAGGTTGTGGGTTCCATCCCTGGTCAGGGCACATAAAAGAATCAACAAATGAATGCATGAATAAGTGGGACAACAAATTGATGTTCCTTTCTCTCTCTTCCTTCTCCCCTCCCACCTTTCCTCTATGTCTCTGAAATCAATCAATAATTTTTTTTAAAAAAGCATCCCAATCAGACTTCATTGAAAGTTGAAAATGTAGAGCAAGACAGTAGGTGGAAATTCTTGTCACAGGAACATTTAAATGGAAATGTACTTGCCCACCTGGAAAAAGTTTTCTATCTTCCCACTGGTTGCCAAGAGATTGCTGAAGTAGTGCAAATGATAGATTTTGCTCATTTTCCTTAGCAACACAGTAGATGAGGAGTGTGTTTATGGGCTGAAGCACTTAATTACTGTACTGCATAGTATTTCAGACAATGGAGTCCTCTGCTGCAGTCGTTCTAAGGGGTGGGCAATCATTGTGAAGAGCATTAGTCAATATTTCTGCATTTGTAATGCTATGTAAAAAATATGTATTGGGAGACTACATTTTATTTGTCTTTATACTTTTGGTGGAAGGATTAACTTTTTTATAATCTTAGTCAGGAAAACTAATCATTTGTTTGTTAGAAAACTATGAAGAATAAAGAAACTTTGGAATGTTAAAAAATAAAATTAAAGTATGCTGTTTGAGCCCTGGCCAGTGTGGTTCAGTTGGCTGAGTGTCAGCTCGTGTACTAAAAGGTCAACAGTTCAATTCCCAGTGAGGGAACCGCCCAGGTTGCAGGCTTGATCCCCAGTTGGGGTGCATGTAGGAGGCAGCCAGTCGATGTTTCTCTCTCCTTTCCTCTCTGTCTAAAATCAATTAAAAAATCAGTTTTTAAAAGTGTGCTATTTGAAAAATTACTGTAAATTTTAAAAGTGTGTTGTTTAGTCCCAAATATGTTGGGATTTTCCTGTTATCTTTCTTTTATTGACTTCTAGTTTAAATTCACTATCGTGTGAGAGCTTACATTGTATGATTTCTATTCTTTTAAATTTGTTAAGATGAAAAATAAAATAAAATAAAATAATACAATACCTACCTGGCAGGTAGGTATTGATATTTTAACTGATTATTGATATGTCTGAACTAATATCTACCATATTTGTTATTGTTTTCTATTGATTGTGCTAAGTTTTTGTTCTTATTTTTGTATTCCACTCTCTTTTTTTGTTACCAGTGATGGATTAATTGAGCATTTTGTATGATTCCATTTTCTCTTCTTTTACCATGATCACAAAGGCGGTTTTCCCAGGGCGAGGCTCACCCACTGCACTCTGGGTGTGCTGACCCCTGCAATTTCCCCAAGGGTGGGAAACTCAACTGCATAATTTGTGGTCGTGCAGGACTACTTTTCTGCTCTCCTTCACCCCTCCCCCACAAATAAATAAATGCATAAATAAATTTGTTAAGCTGTGTTCTATGATCCAGAATGTGGTGTATCTTGGTGCAGTTTCCATGTGAGCTTGAGAAGAATGTGTAATCTGCTGTTGTTGGAAGAAATAGTTTATAGACACCAATTATATCCAGTTGATTGATGGTGCTATTAGGTTCAACTATATTCTTACATATTTTCTACCTGGAGGATGTTTCCACTGCTGATAAAGGAGAGCTAAAGTCTTCAATTATAATTGTTGATTCATCTATTTCTTTTCACAGTTCTATAAATTCTGTCATATGTATTTTGATGCACTCTTTTTTAAAAATATATTTTTATTGATTTTACAGAGAGGAAGGGAAAGGCATAGAGTTAGAAACATTGATCAACTGCCTCCTGCATGCCCCCTACTGGAGATCGAGCCCGCAACCAAGGTACATGCCCTTGACTGGAATGGAACTTGGGACTCTTCAGTCTGTGGGCCGGCCCTGTAGCCCCTGAGCAAAACTGGTTAGGTCTCAATGCACTCTTGTTAGGTACATACACATTAAAGACTGTTGTGTCTTCATGGAAAATTGACCTAGCCCTAGCTGGTTTGGCTCAGTGGATAGAGCATTGGCCTGTGGACTGAAAGGTCCTGGGTTTGATTCCAGTCAAGGGCACATACCTGGGTTGTGGACCCAATACTCAGTAGGGGGCATGCAGGAGGCAGTGGATCAATGATTCTCTCTCATCATTGATGTTTCTATCTGTCCCACTCCCTTCCTCTCCGAAATCAATATAAATAAATAAATAAATAAATAAATAAATAAATAAATAAATAAATAAATAGAAAATTGACCTTTTAATCATTATGTAATGTCCCTCTTTATCCCTGATAATTTTCTTTGTTTTGATGTCTTCTCTCTCTGAAATTAATATAGGTACTCCATTTTTCTGTTGATTAGTGTTTATATGACATATCTTTATCTATTTATTTTTATTTCTATGTGTCTTTATATTTAAAGTGGGTATTTTTTTAGAGAACATGTAGTTGGGTCTTGTGTTTTGGTACACTTTGACTATCATCTTTCATTATTGTTTTTAGACCATTGATATTTTAACTGATTATTGATATGTCTGAACTAATATCTACCATATTTGTTATTGTTTTCTATTGATTGTGCTAAGTTTTTGTTCTTATTTTTGTATTCCACTCTCTTTTTTTGTTACCAGTGATGGATTAATTGAGCATTTTATATGATTCCATTTTCTCTTCTTTTCTATCATGTAAATTATTTATATTTTAAAAAGAAGACATCTTTTACATATATATACTAGAGGCCCGGTGCACAAAATTTGTGCACTGGGGGATGGGGGAGGAGGTTCCCTCAGCCCGGATTGCAAGAGGGCACAGGCCAGGCAGAGGGACCCCACTGGTGCATGATCAGGACCAGGGAGGGTGACCAGCCAGGGAAAGACCGCAGGAGGGTTCCAGGGCATGTCCCACTCTTCTCGCTCAGTCTGGATTGGCCAGACCCCAGCAGCAAGTTAATCTACCAGTCAGAGCATCTACCCCCTGGTGGTTAGTGCATGTCATAGAGACTGGTCAACTGTCTGCCCCCTAGTGGTCAGTGCACATCATAGCGACTGGTCAACCGGTCGACTGTTGCCCCCTGGTGGTCAGTGCACAACATAGCGAGTGGTTGAGCGGCCTTAGCATATCATTAGCATATTACACTTTGATTGGTTGAAATGGATAACTAGACGACCCGACACTTAGCATATTAAGCTTTTATTATATAGGATTTTTTAATTGATTTCAGAGAGGAAGGGTGAGGGAGAGAAAGAAACATCAATGACGAGAGAATCATTGATTGACTGCCTCCTGCACACCGCCTACGGGGATTGAGCCTGCAACCCAGGAAAGTCCCTTGACTTCCTGGCTCATAGGTTCAACCACTGAGCAACACCAGCTGGGAAAGAAGATATCTTTTAAAAAAAACAAAAACTTTTCTCAGTGGTTGCCCTGATGAAAAGGAAAATGGTGGGGGTTGGGGCAGGGAGGCTTGCAACCTAGTTCAGTATCTGGTTAAAACTGTAGTCTTACTTCCCCACTCTGACTGACTTAGGCAGAGCTGCAGAGCCTAACACCAGGGCCCCTCCACAGCTGGCTTGGGCAGAGCTATGGAGCATGCTCCCAAGGCCCCTCCACAGCTGGCTTGGGCAGAGCTGCAGGGACCCTCAGGGGCCCATCACAGGAGGAGATATATAGGTCAGAGCCTCCCCACGAGTTCAGTTCAGGCTTTGGGTCTGGAATTCCCCTGGACTAGCAGATCTGCGAAACAAAGGTTAAACTTTCCTCCCTCAGAGTGCTGGCTGATTGTTCTCCTGTGCATTCTGCCCCAACACTGAAATTTCTGACCTATAAAAATTTCCTTCATTCTAAAAAACTACTCTGACATTTCTTGCAAGGCAGGCATGGTGGCAAGCAATTTTCTCAATGTATGTTTATCTGAGAAAGTCTTTATTTTTTCTTTACTTTTGAAGTGTGATTTTGAACAGTACAGAATCCTAGGTTAGTGGGGTTTTTTCTCTCAACACTTTAAATATTTCACTACAGCCGAACCGGTTTTGCTCAGTGGATAGAGTGTCGGCCTGCAGACTCAAGGGTCCCAGGTTCGATTCCGGTCAAGGGCATGTACCTTGGTTGCGGGCACATCCCCACTGGGGGGACGTGCAGGAGGCAGCTGATCGATCTCTCTCATCGATGTTTCTAACTATCCCTCTCCCTTCTTCTCTGTAAAAATATCAATAAAATATATTTAAAAAAATATATTTCACTACAGTATCTTCCAGTTTGCATGTTATCTGCGGGGAACTTGGATATAATTCTTATCTTTGGTCCTCTATAGATAAGATCCTATTTTTTCTTTGGCTTCTTTATTTTTTCATTTATTTTTAAATGTATGTGATATTTATTATGTTTATTTATTTATTTATTTTTATTTATTTATTTTTTTTGTTAATCCTCACCCGAGAATATTTTTCTATTGATTTTTAGAGAGGGTGGAAGATAGGGGGAGAGATAGAGAGAGAAACATTGATGTGAGAGAGACACATTGATTGATTGCCTCCCACATGTGCCCTGATGGGGGTTGGGGATGAAGCCTGCAACCAAGGTATGTGCCCTTGGCCAGAATCAAATCCAGGACCCTTCAATCCGAGGGCTGACGCTCTATCCACAGAGCCAAACAAACTAGGGTTGGCTTCTTTATTTTAGACTTTGTACAGTTTGAATATATGCCGAGGTATAGTTTATTTGGTAATTACTCTGCCTGGTGTTCTTTGAGCTTCCCATGGTTTTATAGACTGGATAATTGTGCCCCCAAATTCATATGTTGAAATGCTAATGAACATGTGATGGTATTAACAGGTATTAACAGATTGGTAGGCAATTAGATTATGAGGGTGGAGCTCTTATAAAAAGATGTGAGAGCTTGTCATGTGAGGACACTCCCTGCCATGTGAAGATACAGCAATAAGACAGTCATCTACAAACCAGGACACACGCCCTCACCAGAACTGAATTTGCTGGCACCTTGATCCTGTACTTTTCTGCCTCCAGAACTGTGAGAAATAAATGTTTGCTTTTTAAGCCACCCAGTCTGTAGTAGTTTGTTATAGCAGTCTAAGCTGAATAAGACATGTGGTTTGGTCTCTGACCTTGATTTGGAGGAAATTCTCAGTTATTATTGCTTCAAATATTGCTCTTGTACGTTTCTCTCTTTCTTCTCCTGTTGCTATTCCCATTATGCATCTACTATACATGTTTGTAGTTGTACCATCTTTCTTGGCTATTATTCCCTTCTTTTTCAGTCTTTTTTTTGTTGTTCTTTCAGTTTCTATTGACATATTCACAAGTTCAGAGATTTTTTTTCTCAGTTGTGTTCAGTCTACTAATAAGCCCATTAAAGACATTCTTTATTTCTCTAACATTACATTCTCTAACAGTTCTTTTTGATTCCTAGAATTTCCATCTTTATTTACATTACCCATCTGTTCTTTCATCTTGTCAACTTTTCCCACCAGAACCCTTAGCACATTAATCATCGTTGTTTTTAATTCATGGTTTGATAATTGCAACAATCCTGTCATATCTGAGTCTAGTTCTAATGCTTGTTCTGTCTCTTTAAACTGTGTTTTTGCCCTTTTGTATACCTTTTAATTTTTTGTTGAAAGCCAGACATGTACTTGATAAAAGGAACTCTGGTAAATAGGCCTTTAGTTATATGGTGGTGAGGTGTGGGGAGAAGGGTGGCATTTTGAATTCCTATATTCTGTATTCCTATGATTAGCTCTTTAGTGAGCCTGTGCTCCTAGGTTAAAACTTCACAAGTGCTTCTCATCCCCTGCCCAACTCCGCCCACCCCCAGTCTTAGATAAGACAAGATGGCTATCTGGAGTTGGTTATTTCATTTTTCCTGGGTCATTTGGGCTCTGATAAAACCTCAATTAGATTAGGATCTAGTAAATAATTTTTCTAGGGCAGGCTTTGTTAAGAACAAAGTGCTCTGGTTTGTTTCAAAATGGTTACTTTCCCTGAAGGAAGCTCAAAGGGATTTTTTCTCTGATCTTTCCTGGTAGAACTCTAGGAGGTAAAAGTCACAGAGAGGGGACCTTTGAAGTTTTTAGCTCACAGACTTGTCCACTCTGAGCCTTTAGCAAGTTGTCAATTACAATTCAGGTTTTTCTACCATAGAATTGGTCCATTAAGTTGTGATTCTGTATTTGTCTGACTATCTCTCCAATTTTAGGGGTAGCCAGTTGCCTCGAATCCTTATTTTTCTGATAGCTATAAGAGAAGCTACTGTTTTTCAGTTTGGTCAGCTGTTTGTTTGTTGTTTTGTCAGAGAGGTGACTATGGATGAAAAAGGGGTCTAAGAAAAGTATCCTCATGGGGTTATCGGATCATAAATTCTTTTTTTAAAATAACAAAAACAGCCCTAACT